ATTATTTTATAGTTGCATGTCCGTGCGAAGAGAGGAGTGATGCATTTGACAATGGGAATCTCTCTGAATAGCTGCGATAGCTTGCGAAGTGTAGAAATTAAAGTCATCCTTGCACTGACCTCTCAGACGCTTTGAATTTAGGTGCGACTGAAATGATGTTTAAAAGATAATCCAACTCAGAAGCCTATGTGTTGATATATAATCTAGAGCTTTTTAACCCTGATCAGTCGCAAATATACTTTAGTTATCATCTGACACAACGCAGTTTCGACTCAAAACGAGGCGATAAACTTAAGGACTGCGTGTGCAGTTAAATATGGTCTAAATATCGTAAAATAATTATTTAAGCTACGTGTTGTAAATCGAAACACAGCAACAAAGCAGCAGGAAGATTGTTATCTGCCTGGATCTCAAGCCCTGCAACTGACTGTTACGTAATGGAGCAGATCCGTCTACGAAAATTGAAGGCTGGTGCACTCGCTTATTGTGCTTGATATTAGTGCCCGACCCAATCCTGGAAATAACACCCGAGTCGTTGCTTGTATCGGCGGCATCGCGACCACCTGACAAGATCGCTGTTGTATATAATAGCTTATATAATATTCGCAAACACTCAAATGGACATCAGATGCTTATTTGCGACCAATAGCTTTTTTGAGAGAGTCTAATGATTCCCAGTGAATGCAGAAACGCCAGAATTGTGAGTTGTTGCACTTCTCGTTCAGCTTGATGAAATGCAGCCAGCTCTCCGACGCAGGACGAATTTAGGTCTGCTTTGTAGGTGCCATGAAAGTGCGATCGCGAGAATGGAACTATCGATGCCGCAGCAGGATTTCAATTCCAAGTGATGGCAGACGAGCGGAGAGATCAGAGGGCCGAGGGACTGGCGATTTCTGTAAAACAAACTGCGCGTAAATGTTTTTACTACCCATGTTTTATTGGTCAAAAATAAAATATGAGGTTTAAAGATAAAGAAACGTTAACAATAAACATTGCGCGAAAGTGCTCCAGAATACAATTTTATAGTAAGGGATGGTTGTCAAGTCAAGAACCAAAATTGAGTTGCGCTCATTTCGGTGAATACTGAATATATGGCCTTCAGCATTTGCACACAAGTAAAACTGGTCGCGTGCACTACTTAGGGGCATATGTCACGATCAAGCAGAAAGTAATAAGGTACGTGAAGACAGCCAACGAGCGATGTCGCTGGTGCTACCGCGCCCAAACACTAAACATGTGAATATCAGGTACAGTTTTTTTCGGAAGAACGTACAGCAAGATTTGTAGACGATCGACAACATCGACCCAACAAATCACTTGCAGACTCGTCTGCAAATGCATTCGCTATGAAGTTGCTTAAGTATCTGTATGAAAAATGGGAATCACGACCAAACCGGTTTACAGCATCAGCGGTAAATAGGAGTGTTGGAAATACTCTGCTTATCGCGTGCAGGAAAAGATTGATGACATCACAATAATTGAGATAATGAGAACGATCAGTTTCATGTAGACGGACATTGATTCGGGACGGAAATGTGCTCGAAGGAATAAATGATAACTTGAGCTTTGGCAGAATTAAAAATCGCTTTTGTAGAAATTCGATTTTCTTAAGTCCCCAACATTCAATTAACTTTCCTCAAAACATCGAACAGCATTGGTGTTTCTCCGTCATTTATCGAGCATTGGACCTCAGGTCAGAAAGTCGCAATTGTGGTGTCGGCACTACGTGGCCGATTGTAATCAGGTATGAGGACAGGCAAGAGTCGACGTCATGGGCAGCATGAGTGTAACGATTAAGGTCACACCGTCGTTATCATGCAGCTCGTGATAAGCTTGAGGTATTCGTTCACACCATGCATTTCGAAGAATTGTGGATGTGACAGAATTATAAAAACTTAAAGTTTATTCGCGCGTACATTGTCGCCACGTTGTGAGCATGGTGATCTGAGCTTAATGGATAGGCTGATTCCGTGATCCCAAGCAGGGTACTTGATTCCATTTTTCGAATTGACCTCCACTTTCTCGACACCGAAATTAGCCATGCCATCCAACTCCAAGACTTTGGTGCCATTGTCTCTGATTGACACAATGCTGCATAGTCTCGACGTAATGATTCTTGTCATCTATCCTCCAGTTGCGTCAGTATCTTTTGATCTCGACAAGCTGTATTCGTCCTTCGTTGATCTTGTTAAGCACGATTATCCCATTCTTCTTGGAGAATTTTTCATCGATCCGAAGACGGGAATCGTCCATGTTGATCTGACTGATACGTCTCGTCAAAATGGAGCCTTTAATATTCGGTTTGAGACCAACCTACACAGTAAAATGACAACCGAGCAGGCGATACGCAAACGATCAGAAGACTTGATGCCAAGCAGACGAGGCAAAAAAGAGTTGATTGGTGTCAAGGGACTCTTTTGAAGGACGGGGGATTAGTCATTGGTATCGATGTAAGTCACGCGCTGTTTGACGGAGAAGCCCTATTTACCTTTTTGAAACTCTGGGGACAATATTACAGTGGCAATACGAATGAAGAACGAATTGTGGTAAACCACGATCGACACTTGCTTTCAAAAGGGGAAGGTATCTTAAAAATGCAGCATCCCGAATTTCGCATTGTGAAAGCTGCAAGTGATGAAAATGTCCAGCTACCTAACCAAGTGCCACCGGCTACAGCGATTCATAATTTTCATTTTACACCAAAGATGATGAAACGTATCAAAGAAATGGCAAATGGTGGTGACTTTCGTGGCAAGGGAAGCTGTGAAGCTTCATATGTGAGTACTATCGATGCCATTACAGCACTTTTTACAGTCTTGATTTCGAGAGCCCGTGGTCATGGCCAAGACGTGAAAATCACAACTTGTGTAAATGGTCGACGTCGCCTTAATCCTCCACTACCAGAACATTACGCAGGGAATGCAATTTTTAATGCATTATCAACGTACACAAATGCTGAGCTATGCAGCCAAGCTGAAGGTACTATTTCTCCAGAAACTTTGAGAATGCTCGCTCGACGCGTACGTGAATCAATTTCTCAATTGGACGATGCCTATTTACGTGATGCTATCACGTTTTTGGCTGAGCAAGAAAACATTGGTGCTGTTCAAATAGGAGTCAATTTCACTTCTGGATACGACCTCCTATTTACGTCGTGGCTTCGATTGGGTATGTACACTTCCAGCTTCGATGGTGTTCATCCGTGGTACGCTTGTGTTCCTCAATTACCAGGATACAGTGGTTTTGTCATGTTGACTGAAGCTCAAAAGGGAGGAGATGGAATTGACGTGGTTGTCTTCCTTGAGTGCAATGTGATGGAGAAACTTAAGGTGATGTTTCTCGAGGTGTCCAATTTGTACGAATAAGCTTAAAAGTACTACTACTTGTCCATTCATATTATTGTTTTAGCAAAGTAGTATGTATGAAACATGACTTTCAGGTACATTACACCATATATATTTGCAATCTATCGTAATTGACGTCATGCCGGTCAAGCATCGTCGCGACGAATCTGTAACAAGCTCTGATGACGAGGGGCCCATGCCTATGCCTATACCAGCCCCTTCGTCCACGAAAAAAGCTAAAATACTTCCGTTTGAAGCAATTTATCTCAAAAACTTGCCAAGTGCGGCCATGTACGAGCGTAGTTTCATGCATCGAGCCACTGTATCTCATGTTCTAGTGGCTCCAGAGACACAATTTGTTGTGACAGCCAGCGTAGATGGACACGTGAAATTTTGGAAGAAAATGGTCAAAGGGATTGAATTTGTCAAACATTATAAAGCTCATCTCGACGAAGTGCATGGTCTAGCCGTGTCACGCGATGGCCTTCGACTTTGTAGCACATCAGCCGATCGCAGTATTAAATTCTACGATGTGCTGGCTTTTGACATGGTAAATATGCTTAGTATCACTTACATACCAGCCGAATGCTGCTGGATATCAGCTAAAGGCTCGATTAATGCAAAAGTGGTCGTAGCTGACAAGAATAGTCCAGCTTTACGGATCTACTCGGCTGAGAGTGCAGCTAATGAGCCGTTGTTTACAATCAGCCAGCTACATACTGCTCCAGTGACAGCGATTTCGTATAATTTAGTTAGCAATTGTGTTATCTCAGCCGACAAAAAGGGAATTATCGAGTACTGGGACGCCGACACTTACAAGTTTCCAGCAAAAGAAAAACATGTTATCAAATTCAAGTTTAAAGGCGAGACAGATTTATATGAACTGGCGAAATGCAAAACACATGCAACTGCCATTGACGTTTCACGTGATGGTCAAAGTTTTGTTGTGGCAGCCAAGGACAGTCAAATTCGAGTCTTCCGATTCGTTACGGGCAAGATGCGGCGTAAATATGATGAAAGGTTGACCTTATTTGAGGATGCACACGCTGATAAGACACTGCATTTAGATGAAATCGACTTTGGTCGTCGTGCTGCTGTCGAGAGAGAGTTAATCGACTCAGACGTTGTATCGAATTGCGTGTTCGATGACTCGGGCTTTTTCATTTTATACGCAACTCTTGCTGGAATCAAAGTATTGAACATTGAGACCAATAAAGTTGTCAAAGTGCTTGGTAAGGTAGAAAATTCCGATCGATTTTTACGATTGAGTCTTTTTCAGGGAAAACCAAAAGCTAACACGCAGTTTGAAAAGCATCTAAAGGCGGCGTCGGGTCTTAAGTACGAAGCGCAAGTGATGACTGACGATCCAAACGAACAAGACTTGATTGATCCGACGCTCTTCTGTACGTCGTTCAAACGCAATCGTTTTTTTCTCTTTTCGTCCCGGGAGCCAGAAGACGATGAAGCGCAAGAATCTGGAACGGGTCGCGACGTTTTTAATGAAAAACCTTCATTAGAAGAGGCTCAAGTAGCAACAGAGTCCAGCTCGACAAAAACCCTCGGAAACACGGCTGTGATACATACAACAATGGGCGATATCACGCTAAAACTCTTTGCTAAAGAGTGTCCTAAAACTGTCGAGAATTTCTGTACCCATGCACGCAATGGCTACTACGACAACGTCATTTTTCACCGCGTCATCAAAAATTTTATGATACAAACGGGCGATCCACTTGGCGATGGTACCGGGGGAGAGTCGATTTGGGGTGGTGAATTTGAGGACGAATTTCATCGTAGCTTACGACACGATCGACCTTTCACTCTATCGATGGCAAATGCCGGACCAGGCACGAATGGATCTCAATTTTTCATCACGACTGTCCCAACTCCATGGTTAGATAATAAACACACAGTGTTTGGAAGAGTAGAACGTGGCAAAGACGTCGTGTCGAGTATTGAAGGTACCCGCGTGAACAAATCGGATAAACCTTTTCAGGACATTAAAATCATTAATATTGATATCGTCTAGATCGGCAGATTTAATGTCATTTTTGTCGCTATTAATGTTTGTGTCAATGTTTTGTGAGTGTTATGATGGATGGAAGTGGCTTACCTGGTAGCTTGATAGATGACTGGGTTTTAGTTATGAGAGATACCGATGCGTCAGAATAATCTTGATGGAAAATTTAGGTGCTGATTGATGGGGATGTTTATGTTGCAATAGTTCGCTCAAATTACAAGTTACGATGAAACAAAAGACACTAGTGATTACGATGTTCTTGGCGTTTGCTGTGATCGTTATCGTACTGATAATCGGTTTGACAGTGTCAAGTATCACAACTTCCACTGCGTCAAGTGACGGTGATAACAAATTTCGACAGGTTTCAGACGCTAACACTACGTCTAACGGGCTCAAAACACTGCGTACGTTAGACAAGAAAAATTCTAGCAATGGATCTAGAGATGAAGAGGAAGAATTGACGGATCCTTTGACGGAAAATTACTCTGTGTCAGCACTTGCAGTCGGAGATTGGGGTCGTACTATTGCCAAAAATGGTGGATCTTGCTGCTCACGTCGCAAGTCTTTCACTGTATTAGATTATAACGCCATGGAATACGTGGCAATTTTACTCGGACAAGCTGCAGCTGCTGCTGAGCCTCGTCCGTCAGTTGTGATTGGCCATGGTGACAATTTCTACTGGGATGGTTTGCACGGCATAACAGATCAAGCTTATCGTTTTCAACAAACCTTTGAAGACAAGTATAATTCTCCAAGTTTAGCTGGAATTCCATGGATCAACGTGATGGGGAATCATGATTATGGAGGTGCTAGTTATGTGTGTACAGATGGTGAGCAAGCGATTGAATGTTCTTCAACGGAAGCATTGTTGGCTGCTTTGGACCAAAAATTTATGTTGCAGGCACAATATGTGAGTCCACAAAACAATCGATGGATTATGTCGGATCATTTTTTCGTATATTCAATTGCTGATCCAAAAACTAATGTAACAATTGACATCTTTAATCTGGACACAAATGATGCTCATTCTCACGGTGCTCAGCAGATTTGTTGTCAATGCTATGGCTACTCTGGGAAAGATGACGATTTGTGTGAAAATGTCAAGCGTGGTGATAGTCTGTGTGCCGGAGGAGACACGAATATGTTTGATGCGTGTATGGACAAGCTTCAAGCATGGGGCGATGACTCTCGTTTGAGACTTGCAGAAGCTGCAAAGGCCTCGAACGCGACGTGGAAGATTGTAAATACGCACTACTCGCCATACAATCACTATGCACCAGGACCAGCTGAGAAATGGCGTGAAGTGCTGGACGGACTTGGGATCCAACTCTTTTTTTATGGCCACACACACGGTGAAAAACATGACTTTGCTGCATTTAAGACGCACTTTATCGAAAATGGGGCAGGTGGCGGCATTCAAAATGAATCACCTAGTGGCATTCCACCGTATGCTGAAACTTATGTTGAAAATGTTTGGGCTGCTGGCCATTACCCTTACGGCTTCTTTTCGCTCAAAGTTTCCCCCACGTGGCTACAGGTAAGTTTTAATACATTTGACGATAGCTGGACGATGACTAAAGATTTGGATGCGACGGTTGTCGGTGGGATTGCCATTAAGCATTGCTGGTACATTCCACAACATGGTGGACGAGGCAAAAGCTGTAAAGATGCTGAGACGCAGGCAACAGGATCGAATTAGAAGACTTTGGCTAATACAGATAAGCTGTGGTGACCGAGATGACGACGTTTTGATCATCAAACAGCTAGGTTATGAGCCTCTTTCTAATTTTGGTGTCCCCAATACACTTGCGTTATGTGGATCGGTTGCGCCAATTTCGATAATCTTGTGACGCGAACACACTTTATTGGCGGCAGTCGGCATTTAAAATATATTGATATCTCTTTTTTTAAGTATAATGAATTTGCAGAGGTGAATGGAAGTGGTCACGCTCACATTTACATTGCATCGTGCAGCGCGCCATCAATACTTTTTATAAAATCCGGCGAACGACAATACCTTTTTTGAGTGATTATACCACGATACCAAAGAGTCAATACTCAAGCCTAAACTCAAAGATGTCGCCGCCGCTACAATGTCGCACTCTTATCGCATCAAGACAATTAACACTATTATTTGCGCAAAGATCGGACTAGACTATGGCTCGACAAGAATCTAAGGGATCTTCAACCCGGTCAATCAAATAATAGTAATGTATGTTATCGCAAGAATCGTTTTGGGTAATTACTTTTTCATTGGCCTCGTCGGCAATTTCAACTTCGCTTTCAAATTACGTTGACTAAACAACCGTAGCAAATTTTGTCAAATCACATGTAAATGCATCACTCACTATTTACTCAATCATATTTATCCAGAAAAGAATGACATTAATACCTAGTAACATCCTCTTTTTCAACAGTTTGACTTACGCATCTTTTTTTGCTTCTACCACAAAATTTCTCATTAGCTTTCATGATAGCTGAATTATCATAAAGTTATCCTCTAGTCACTTTCAATCCTGATCTAATAACAACAATTCATTTTAATTTTTTGGATCATTGGATAACCCATACACATATGATCCAAAATTCAAATCTTAGCTGTATAAACTTCCTACTATTATTACACATTTATCTGTTAGGCAGATAAAGAGAACGCAGATCCAACGTGAATAATTCTACTAAAGTGTTGTTGTTGCTTGTGAAACTCATCATCGAATGAGTCTACAAGCTTAGCGTAAATGTACTTCACCACCCTGCGTCTCAAATACTTGTCGTGCAATAACCTTTGCAGCAAGCGTTTGTGGTTCAGTATACTGAAGCTTAATTCATCCATGGTTCTGCACCTACAGATAACGCATTTGCCTCCACATTGGTTTTCTCATTGCAAATTTATAATATATTTTAATCGCTTCGTCAGTTTGAGTAATTTAAGCACAAGTTTTCTATTATTTGGATTTTCCGCTTATTCAGCAAGCAAGTTTGGGTAGCGAGCGACTCGTGATGCTACTCTTGGGCTCAATTCCATAAAACTGAATCAAAAGTGTGAACTTTTTTCTTAGTATACTATCAACAACATTCTTGCACTATAAATCTAGTTGAAGTTGCAAGATTGATGTATCTAACCCCTGATGATCAGAGTTGTGACAGGAATAATTCGACTATAGCTGCAACGAAGTTGCCGTACACTTTGCATAGATGAAGCTTCGACTCAAAGAATCCGACTTCATAAACGTAAAATAGGTGGGGGTTCTAGAAACTAGTTTGCTGGTTGCTAGCAAAGGTGGGTTCATGACTCACCAAAGCTCCAATAGAAGACGTGCGCGAAGCGCCCAAGACCTTTGACCTCTTAAAAATTCGCTTTGTCAGACGCAAACACGACGCTGGCCATTCTTTGATGGACGTTTACCTTGAGCTATACATTTTAAGAGTACACAAATTTGAATCAGTAAAATGTAAATATTTTGACTTACACCGGTTATAAAAACTATGTACTCTGTACGCAAGTGACCAAAATCTAGTATTGTCTTATTATTGCGATTTACTGCGCAAAAGTGACCGCTCCACGAGCAACCACTGCGCATTAAGTCTATTATCAATCTCCGCACTTGACCAGCCTGCTCCTTACAGCAAACTTAAACCATGAGTTTCCTTCCGTGCATAAAAAGACCGACGGTCCCCCAAAAAGGCGTAGTCCTTGATAGCGACGCGCTTCAATGAATTGCGGCGGGGGGTTGTAACGGGACAGCTGGTTGCACGCACTCTTGCATTGAGGTAGCGTTACCTTGAGGCTAAGTCTTCTCGCGTAGCTGTCGCACGCGCCCCTTTGACCACAGCCGTGTGTGGATTTCGTGATCAAATGAAGACTGGATATATTATTAGTGGTTTTATCCTAACCCTATTCTTAACCTAAAGTTGGAATAAATTTTCTAATTTTAACCACCTGTAAAACTAAGTGTGTACTACACAACATCTGTAATGGGCCTACCACCTCAATACACCACCCCATACCCAAAACGAGACATACTCATGTCCCAAAATAACAAGGATACCTGAAAGAAGAACTTGTATCACTTGGAACCAACAGATGTCGGGCACGACATTACGAGAGATGCCGATGCTAGAGTTATCTGCTCGCAGAACAGCTTCTCCCACGCCTGGCGACAGCGACACGCCCGTGACTGAGATGAGAACACACCAACTGCCAAACTCGTAAAATATGCCGAGGAGCGACATCAGCGTTAAGCGGAGTTGCCAACACAGACAACGCAACCAGAAACGATGGCATCCTCAAAGTCGGACGGCGACTGCAGCGGGGCTGCCGTAGCTTTGCGCTTTGAGGAAGCGTAACTTAGGTCACCGATCTATACTCAGAACAAGTACGAGTTTAGCGGATCGCAATCCACTTACTCCAAGAGTAACAAATGCCTTAACCCAAGGCTAATTAACTCTTCCGTTTAAAATCCAGAACTGACTTTATTTTTTTATCTGCGGCAAAGCCGCCTAATTTTAAATTTATAGATTTTCCTAAATATATAATAATAAAATTTAAAACATGCATAACGACTGGCTACCCAGCCACATACCGTATTCTTGTTTGGGTGCAGTCACACAATGCCCATCTCGCGTGACACACACACCTGTTACCAGGGTACGTGTAACCCCGTTACAGCAACGAAGATTATAAAAACTCTGTTTGGTTTTCTTCACGAGTTGGAGAGCTGAAATAACCCGCCCTAAATCCATATATCGAGTCAAGCGACGACCACATGTCGGCAGACGACCGTTAAGAGAGGGGGGTTTCTCCATCTAGCGTTGCCGAAGCAAAATAATTCCTAGAGTCAGTGACTGCGCTTATACCTCCAACGAGTGTGCCAACGGCGACGACGCCAACGGCGACGACGCCAACAGCCCGTGCCACACGCGGAGAATACGCTTCGCAATCACTGTCGAATGACGACGTGTGGCACATTTCACACCTATCAAAGATCAGCGCTGGTATGGAAATTGAAGAATCTGAGGAGTCCCCTGATTCGATCAGGCAGATCCAATCGAAACGTCATTTGATGACTCTAAAGGAGACCGTCTAGCCGTTTGTTTGTACCATCTAACACTGGAAACGATGGCTTTCATGTCGTCGCGACGCACGTAATTCGTACGATAATGTACGTGGACAAGAGTCAGCGGAGTCGCCCGATATTGACAGAGCATTTTGAGAGTGGGTGCACACCACCAAGTCGATTGCGATTGAGAACTATCACAAACTCGACGAACACATCTACTGTCATTTTCAGGCGATTGCCAAGGTGCGCGACATGCGTTTTCGATACGCGAAACTCGTATGAGGGAGACAGGACGAAGCAGGTATTGCTGTATGTCCTGGGGACATGGTGGGGTATCCACCAGCGGCGTCGCTTATGAAACGTGGCCTAACAGAAATGTTGAAGGACATGAGTTGGCATATCATCAAGCCGAGTTATGCCGGCGGCAACAATCACAGGATCAGTCGTATGGTCGATTCCCAAGGCTTTCCCCAACTTGCATCGTCACTGTATTTGTCGTCATCGACTCCCATGGCTGAACTCCCCAAAGTTTTCTTTTGTTTCGGCTCCTAGTAAACTTCCCACATACGGACTGCGTCATGGCAATCAGCAAGTAATTGCGAATGTGGCTCCCACAAGCTATCCGAATCCGGATAGCCGAGCCATTTCACAAGGAACAGTTGATGTCACAATCCACATGGAAGTGTGCAACCTCATCTTGGTCAACCCCCGGCAACGGAATTCTCGGTGGTCGAACAATCGATAGCGGTGTCGTCGATGCCGTTTTTGTCGGTTCTTCGCTTGCTGGTGAGGGACGCAACGATGCGTCTGGACGAGGTCGTACCATCCTCGGGTGTAAATTAGAGCACGATCGCGAAGATGGTTAATCAAATGTCGAAGGCGGCGGAATCATTGTGGGCTTAAATTTGCCATGCAGAGGTGAACGTTCACGCAGCAATGTCTGCTCGATGCACGGAAACCGCTCGGCTCCAAGCGGAGAACCAACGTCTTCGTGACGAAGGTTATCAAGTTCAGAGTGCTGTGGCACAGCGTGGTTCGAGTCTTGGGTTTCACTGACGCGTTCGTTCTCGTTCACGATCTCCATTACCGAACTACGGAATCGCTAAGTTATGGCTTGAGCAAGTCGACATATGATGGATACGGAGCCAGCTTGGCAGGTCCAATGTATGTGCATATTTGGCACATTTTAAGACCTTGAAGGGACCGATGTTTTGGGGAAGGAGTGTGAAAGATCCAAGAGTAGCGACTGCAATTCTGCCATGTTCTTGGTAGTGACTAGAACTTAATCACCTTCTTTGAATACATGGTGTGTTTTGACGTCCATGCGTATCAGCATTAGATGCCTGTAAATATTGCGCTTATGTCATAGTATCATGTTCGCGCGGGACAATTTTTGCGCTTTCGGTCATAATCATGACAATACTTTGACGAATCCGATGCTTGTTAATCGTGTTGAGTTGGAAGACAAAAGCTTGCCTCACCAAAATTTCTCTTCTCTCCTCTTAGAAGACAAAGAGGCAATGCTGGTTGGCGAAGGCCATTAATGTAAAATGGCGTAAAGCCAATTGATGCATGGACCGCATTGTTGATGGCAAAATCGACCATCGAAAGCATATCACTACATGTTGTCGGCAACGATGCACAAAAACTGAGTAGATTGTCTTCTACAGCGCGATTTGCGCATTCGGTTTGACCATCGGTCTCTGGATGGTTTTTGGTGGCCATCTCTAGACGAGTGACGATTAGACAAAATAAGCTCGTACAAATTCCGTTGTAAAGCGCGTATCACGATTTGAAACGATTGACTCTGGTTAATGATGCTGTTAAAAACATGCCTGATATAATAATCGAGTGCTGTGTTCGCCAATAACGGAATCAGCCGTTGGTGCGAGGTGAACAATCTAACTTAAACGGTCTACAGAAACCAAAACACCATTATCCCTATCAGGGGGTAACCCAAAGAAAGAGTCTAAACTGATGGACCGCCAGCAATCTGCTGGTACCGACAGACTCTACAATGGAGCCTCACTGTGAGGGGAGGGCTTCACACGATGACATACGTCACAAGAAATTAAGGTACTCCTCAACCCAAACACGTATTTAGGGCCATTTAAAATGGTGTGCAAGTGCTGCGCAAGTCTTTTGTCGACCGGGATGACCTGCGATAGGCGTATCGTGTTCTTCATACTCTAACTTGTGCTTCAAGTCTTCGTTGTCGGGTTCAACAACCTGAGAGGCATCTCCATCGTGTACTTGGTAGTTAAAAAAACCGTCCTCGAGAGAGTATCGATGAGTTCCACCGTGAAATTGCGGGGATAATGTCAATAAGGCCGAATTATTCGTAGTTGTCAACCACTTAAGAATAACACCACAAGATGGATCGCTTGGATACGCTTGTCATATCGTGTCAAACACGCTAGGGGTAGCTTGAAAAATCACGGATAATCCGTCGCCAGGACGTCAACACCAGAACATTCAATTTGCCTGGCTTATAAGCCTTTGAAAAGTTGTATTCCGCAAAGAATAACCATCCGTTGTGAGAATTGTATTTGTGATGTTGAGCGCAACGATTTGTGGTCGGTATAAACGGCGATTGGCTTGGAAACCAGGATGTGAACTTAATTCACCAAAGCATACTTCATTGCTAACAATTTTGTTGGTGGAAACAGGGTCTCTCCGTCCAGCTGCCTTCGGCTGCCTCGACTGATACGAGTTGACACGTTCTTGTCAATGCGCTTTCGATCGCAAAGTCGGAGGCGTCGCACACGACACTGTACGTTAAATCGTAATTTGGTAATACCAATATTGGCGCTGCCTGCAAGCTGTGCTTGGTCTCGTCAGAGTCGACTGCACAATCATTTGTCCATAAACACTCTTGATCTTTTTTTCAACAAGTCCGATAACGGCGTACCATGCCAGCATAATTATTAATATACAGATGAAGATAGTTGACCAAATCCAACCAGTTCCTTAGATCCTTCTGGTTAGTGAGCGCCGGCCATTCTGAGATCGCTTTGATCTTCGCTGAGTCTGCCAGAACACTCTCGACGCCGACAAAAAAACAACCCGAACCGGGTACTTCTTCGGCGCCGAATATACATTTATCAATGTTCAAGAAGCTGATGCCTGTAGTACACGCCGGTACCGGTTTCAGGTGTTCAAGATGATTTGGTAAAAAAATCGGCCTGTTTCGGGGTTTTAAACGGACAAACATGTAACAGGTAATCTCATCACTGCGTTCACAATTGAATTTTGTGCTTCCACAAGGGTATCGCCCACTGGAGCATCAATTACCACCGTAGATTTGACTACCTGTTGGAGCTGCTGATTCCTAAGTAGATGTGCCGACTGAAGCATAATGTGCTTCCACGATAGCATCATCTACTAGAGCATTGGCTTTCACATTACTTTTAACTGGAGCGTATTGGACTTCTATAGTAGACTTTCTGTTAAAGCAACAGCTTCTACAGTAGTTTTGCTACTCAGCGTAATGATTTTCTACAATGGATTTAATTATCGGAGCGAGAGCTTCCACAATAGATATATCTACTGGAGCTATAACTTTTTTGGACACAACTAAGTGGCGTCGCAACCCGCACCTTCTTTGTGACTTGTGGCTTCATAACTATGCCTCAAACTCCAACATAGTGAGCTCCATCTTTGGGTGCAAAGTTGCGACTCTGGTAAATAGTCACAGACGGAACATGATGCCCGTAGGGGTGACTTCCACACGGCAAGCTATCCGCAATCTGCCTGGTTCTCCAGTCGTACCATGACTCGTGGTCTCTTAACCACGCATACCCTAGTATCCCTAGTATGAGATCATACTGATCATCCACGTCGATGACGGAGGACGTCGCCTTGAAGTCAAAGTCCAAAAATTTAACTCGTAGATCGACATCGATCTTCTGTTGATTAGCAATCGCAACTGTTGCAAGCGGATATGAAGAGGAGCGGATTTCCGTAAAATCCCTCATTCAAATAAGTTGACGCTCCAAAGTCAACAGTGACTCTTACGGGTCTCTTCGCCGTTGTCAAACCAACGAGAAGGCCTCCCTTTCTCTCCACCTTCATGGGAAGTCAGAACTTCTCTGGGGTCAGCGGCTTCCTCTGCACAAAATTAGCGCAGGAGAGTGTCGCTAGTTCTATCCCGGTAGGCCACCCCTAGCCTATTAGGCCTGCGCGTTCCCCGACGACGAGAAAAACACACCAAAAGGTGTAACAACTTCGGCGTTGTTGAGGGAAGAGCCTACTCGACCACTGCAGAAACTGGCTGAACGGACACCTCGTCGACTGGCATCCCACCATATTCCTCGGCTTCGAGTAGAGTAAACCGTTGATATGCCAGTGGTTTGGACCCATATCTTCGTCGGGTCCCGTTTGAATTGGCCCACTCGGCCGCAACAAAACAGGTTACCTGCCGGCGATCAATTGCTGACAGGTCCATTGTTTCAGGTCCATTGTTTCAGGTCCACTATTTGTCGGTGGCCGCACGGCGGTGGACCCAGTGGGTAATCACGCGGCTACCGATGGAGCTGAACCTCTTGGAGGACGGCGTATGCCCTGGCGACACCTCAAAATCATCGCGCGATTGTTAGACGCCGCATTCGGTGAAAAAAACCCTCTTCGCCATTGATTGTTGACGAACTTCCAAGAGGAGAAATAACAAAAATAATTAATCTCCCACGTGAAAGCCCGTCCATGAGCAGCACCTTGAAAACGCAAGTGCAACCTTCTGCTGTTTCTCGTAAACCAGCACTGAAGCCAAGGCCATATTTACTTGGCGAAACAAAAAGTGGATGTTTTCTTCCTGCATTCCGACGAAAGGCTTAACCGCAATCTACAGCGGTTTTGGGGCGACTACGCTTCGTGAAGATGGTGGTATCTCTACTTGAACAATCGGGGTCGGTGGAGTCGGGAGTGACAGGGCAACACGATGCACCATTTGTTCCATGATGGTCGACTCAGACGAACGATATTTGTGACCTTTGTCGACACTTGTTCAACGAAGTTGGCTTCATGATCCATGAACGAGCAGACGTGATTCTTGAGCACATCTTGCTCATGACGTAACCATTGGATGTAGGCTTTACCATAAAGGATTTGTTAAATCTTGCCGACGACGGCCAATTCCGCATCGGGCAGATACGGATAGTTGGAGTGGTCCAACGGTGACGGTTGGGATGGGAGGTTAGTCTGGTAGCTGGAATCGGACATCTTCAATGTCGGCAGTGGATTGACCACAAAGTGCTACTAGCTGTAATGGAACAGCTCGTTACACGCACTTTTGCGCTGAGGTAGCGCAACCTTGAGGCTTAATCTTCTCGCGTAGCTGTCGTACGCGCCCTTTATCCACTACCGTGTGTAAATCTCTTGATCAAATTAAGACTAAATTTTTTATAGGTGTTTCATTCTAATCCTAATCTTAGCCCGATATAGGAATAAATGTACCTCATTGTAACCACCTACAATGTACTCTTAGTAATCACTAGCTAGGTGGGTATCACACATACCGTGAAATGGGCCGACCACGTGTCATCAGCAAAATAGATGTGATGAACATGGTCACGCATCATATCCATTAGAACCTTCTAAGAATCAATTACCACCTATTGCAAGGAGAAGCGTCACAGATGACATGGAATACTCGATAGAGCCAGAATTGTGGTACACTCACATCTTCCCTTTCACAGCCTTCGAAGCCGCCTCTTCTGCTGCGCTCCAATACCATTTAAAACTCTTATCAAAGATATTTATTCGAGTTCGTGTCATGCCGGCATGATTTGCATTATATAGATTGAGCACTTAGTCGGACCACCACCTCAAGTCTTTTTAAGACACAGATACTGATTAATCTTTACTGCCATTTTACTTCACGAAGCTCCTGCGGGCCCTTAGGAAATTTTCATGGTGCCATACACACCATGAAAATTTCCTTAGGGCCCGCAGCTTGTTCTAATGGCTAAGTACGGATCGAAACAAATAAATCTGTATTATACATATGACACCCCTTGCCCTGCATCGCTATAGACAGGTAGCCTGAACATCTGTGTAATCAGATGATTGAACGTTGCTGGTGCATGTTTGCGCGGGATTCGTTGTCCGCCTTGTATGGAAGCCCGACCCTTCGCTCATCTTAGTTAAAACATTATCTCACGCAGTCCCACATACAGATCTCAGATATCATTCCTCGTATTTAAATTGATGTGATATTTTTTCCGTGACATATCAGTGGTTAAAATTGTTTAATAATCCGCCTTTCAAGATGGACGCCGAGCGAGAACGCATTGAGCGCGCCCGCGCGAAGAATCTTGCGTACATTCGGGAGTAAATCGTTTGCTTTATCATTTTCATCTTTACATTGCACTCAACTAGCTTGTTGGACTGCAGGCAGGATGAACTTAAGGCAACCCAAGCCACTAACAGTTTCACTGATAAGGGATCAGCGCCAGGTCCAAAAGGTTCCAAGGGAAATAACAGCCTGTACATTACAGGGCTCACCACGTACATGGCGTGCAGACAACTTGGTGAGAAATGTTGACTGCTATCTAGTAACGATAAGAAAAACACTCATATTGATAGTATGCTGTAGAGGGCGTATGCAATAAACTAGGGAAGGTGCGGCGTATTAAATTTTACAAGGACGACAAAGGAGGACTCAAGGGCGACGCAGTAGTGACTTTTCATTCGCACGTTACAATGCTCAAAGCGGTTGACAGGGTAAAGCTACAGACGATTCAGCCGATCGAGTCTAGGTGAAAGGAATTTTGCCATGCATTTTGCTAATTGGCGTCTCGTACCTTGCTACACAGCTAAACCAATTTGAAGTCAAGCCGGGTGTCGTTATTACGTGAGTACCGGTCATGGGTCGGGAACGTAATCGTGCGAGTTACATATTGTATGTGGATGTCGTATATCAGGGCAACGGAAGCAACTTTTTCGAAAAAAAAGCTCAAGGAAAATCATTCTGTTGCAGTAGAATGTGCTCAAGGAATTCAGACTCCTGTGACTATATTGCCACTACAAACAGATACATCGGAAGCTGATTCGTCACATTTGGACTTGCCATCGCGCTCGATTATTCTACATCATGTTTGGGACCCTCTTACAGACAGCGATGCTGCATTCTTCGATGAGCTAGAAGAAGACATGAGATCAGAGTGCAGCAAACGAGGAGCTGTTGAACACGTTCACATTGTGGCGAATGGATCGGTGATTGTGCGTTTTACTGAATTAAAAGCGGCTATTGCGTGCATTAAAGAGCTTAATGGACGGTGGTTTGCTGGACGGCAAATTGAAGCAAAATTTGATCAATCTACAATTGAAAACCCAAGTGATGCAGATACTAAGGTTGAAGCTTTTCTTGCCGTACTTGGTGAGTGATTTAAGTAGGTTTTGAAGATGTAACTACAAGGATAAGTCGTGTGATCTTGTTTCCAAATTATTGCCGAAATTGAAAATACTCATTGAAAATGACAAATCGATTGGGTTGCAAAACGTAGTTAGTCAATCCAGCATGTTTGTTCAAAAATGCAAAGAGTAAAGGCGATGGCCGATCGTAAGCGAGCTGAGCAGGCGAAACACGTTCTTTTTGAAGAAAGTATTGAAAGAGCTGCAACCCTATCCCATGACGCTGCCAGATCTCGTCCACGTAAAAGTCTAGGACGCAGATTGGATCCAATTCGGAATATTCACCAGTTGGACTCTGTCAAAGCATCAACTATAGTAATGGAGAACATTATTTGAATGGTAATACAAACTGTCTTACCATGTAAAAGAGATGTTTAACACCTGTCTTTAAATACCCCAAGACCTTGCCATCATTAATTGCTAAGAACAATATTTGTTGCTGCTTGGCTGCCTGTCGTGTCTCGAACAGTTTTGCTGATGTAATTTCACGGGAGAGAGTTTGAGCCTGGCGATCGTCAGTGGATCATTGATGATGAAGAGTTAAATCGCTACATTGTGATAAGTGGATTAGAAAGAAACATACAACAGCGGACTGTTTGCCAAGTGTGTCAATCGCAATAGCCAACTCTGGACGGGAGCTAAGCGTCTCAGGCGCCCGAATGACTTCAACTTGCATTGTAATTTCGCTCGTTTTGTCCTCATTTCTGTTCGTATAGAAATCCACCTTTAGAAACGCCGTTTTAAAATTAATAATATGGGCGCGAAACAATCAAAACCAGTTGAGCTAAATTATTGCGCGCAAGAGATGGAGTCCTACATGAAGTGAGTAGGATATACTTGATATAACCATAATTAAAAAATACGTTATGACGTCATTCGCAATGTAGATGTGTGGAGTTGAAAAACGCAAAGAGCGGAGGTTTACGCGATGGTGAGGAGTGTGAGAAGGAAAGTGAAGCCTATCGCGAATGTCGACGGAAGGTCAAGAAGCTTAGGACCGTCATAGAAAAATGACTGGAGAGATAGATATAAATGCAATTCAAACACAGTACAATAATTGCAATGTATTGCCTATTCCCACGACACTGAACACTACTAACAATTTACAACAACAGACCTATCTAGTCCTGTTCTCAGCCCACTTTTCTAGAATCAAGGTGTAAAAGTTACTCTATGCGTCTGCTCACAACAGCCGTGGGGTCTGTAGTCTCGTCATCACTGTACCCAAAGCTGGAAGACGCAGTTTTAATGCCAAAATTGTACTTCTTGTTCACGCTGGGCGGAATTTCGTATGGTGGATTGTTGCGTATAGAGCGTATGGTGCTCCATCCTTTCAAAGAGGAATTGCTAACTCTTGACGACCCAACGATCGAATTCTTGCTACTGTGACCCATGAACGAGTGCGACGCAGTATGATGGTGACCGTGGCGCTGTCGGCGTTGGGAAAGCACCTGAATGTCCTTTGGCATGTAAACATCCGGTACAAGTCTATCTGAATTTGACAAAATAGACGCTACAGACGAGTCCGTGGTGGACGACAGAGAACGCCCACGCATACTCGCTAGTTGCTCGTACTTCCGTGTACAGTCCTTGCTCTGATATTGCTTTAAGGAGAAAAATGTGGAGGTCAGGAGATATAAGTAGATAAAGTTATTCACATACCAATTGTGGATCACAGTGGCTATCGCTAGCTTGTAGCCCGCACAGAGAGACGTTGCCACCCATGTTGTTACGGTCTTTAAAGCAAAATTAAATCTGTACATAATTGAGACTAATATTTAACAATTCACACCGTACCGAAGAACTTAAGTCTTACTTAAGGACAATTACTTACTTAAGAAAGATAATTTTCTTTGCACAGTAAAAAACTCAAATTGGTCCGGATTCTTCCCGACATACCAGGTGTGTGTTTGTCGTTCAGATGGCCGCTGTCCGTGTGCGGCGATGGAGTGACGTGGAGGCGAGACGACGGCCGTTACACCGCGCTGCATACGACAATAGTACACCGTTTCCTGCACCCGCAGCACCTTCGTCGGCTGGTCCGGCTTCTTCCACGAAGAATGTTCCGTTAGCGGTTATGGAAGACGCGCCCGAGTGTGTGATTTGTTTGGACGAGTTAGCGCTGGGGCACGCACTCTTTACAGCCGAATGTGGTCATCGTTTTCATTTTAGTTGCTTGCTCGAGAACGTTAATCACGATGAGGCTAATTCGGATAAGTGCCCGATTTGCCGCAAGACGCAGACGCAATGGCCTGAACAAACTAAAGGACTTGTGAAAGCCCATCCATACTGTAAGTATTCGTCTGTCAAGGATTGTGGTATTGCAATACAGCAAGAACGCAACAATAACATTGTCCATTGCAATTAGGTACAAATTGTGGCAAACGCGGGTCGGGTGGACAATTTTGCGACGGATGTGGGCAATCATTAGCGCACACACCTACAGCTCAAGAACGCGCCCGTGTGGCTGCAGCAGCTGCAGCAGCAAGAAGCAATGTGGTTGTAGAGTGTCCAACATGCCAGATTCGATGTCTTGTGAGTACCACAGCGCGTGGTACGCTACAGTGTCCTAATGGTCACCTTTTTCAGTTGCGTATGCCTCCAAATATGGGTAACTCACAAGGACTTCGTCAGAGTTTTCATGGAAGTGTACCCAATTTAATGACATCTGGACCCCGACCAATCATGCGACAATGTCCTACATGCTACACACGCGTTCAAATGCCACCAGGTAGCCAAGCTGGTCAGTATATGTGTCCACACGGACATACATTCTACTTTTCTCCATTTTGAACAATTCATACCACTTTTGTCAACAAAGTCTTATATTTAATTTTAGCTGTTTAAGTTGCTACGTACTGCTTTAGAGATTAACATATCGCAAGAAAGAAAGGCATCAGCGCGACGCAACGTACTTTGTGACGATAGATCGACTGGATACAAGTACATTTCCGATGTTATGGGAGCGCTATTGGCTGTACGCTGGTCCACTTGCACATATGTCCAACACTCGGGAACAAGTACACTTGCCCCAAGAGTAGGAGAAGTAACACTTTCACATGTCGGAGAAGCACAACTTCTGGCTGTAGAAGCTAATTCAATCACAACGCAAGCTCCATGAGGCAAATTCTCTAATGGTGTTTGCATGTGCCACGTAAATCCCCATAACAGCGCATTGGAGGCTGCAACAGGTTGCACGGACACTTGTTGCTGCATTTCGACCAGATTTTGTTCTCGATCCATGACTGACACGACAATTCGTGGTCCTCGAGTTCCTAATGATGGTGCACTACCAAGTCCAATGAGCTCGACAAATAGTGAAACATATAAACTATTAAGAACTTTGCCAGGTTGTTTGAAAAGAAAAAGTAACGGAAATTCGTCCATACGACGAGGTCGTTTCAGCAACGCACTTCCAGCTGCCATCAATCCGTTCATTTTCTTTGGCGTTTGTGGTCCAAGTGAAGTTGTTGAAGAAGATGAAATACTAGTAATCGCTGTTTTTGCCAATTCAGCTTTTAAACTTCGTACCAACATCAAATGAGGTTCTGAAAGACCGGATGCAAGTGCTCCACGATCCAGTAATACTTTTGATAATGTCAAATGTCCCGCTTGCAATGCTAATTGAAGTGGTGATTCGTGATGTGCAGTAAGTGCATTAATGTCTGCTCCGTTTTCAAGAAGCCACTGAGTTGTTTTCACAAGTTCAAGCTCAGCATTCAAAGGACATTTGGATTTCAAACTTCGATAAATATCTGGAATCGAAACGTCGAGTTGAATTTCACTTGAACTACTCTGATTATTATCACAATCTTCGTCTTTAATTGGTGCCAAGACATCAAAATTACTGCAGCTAGCCACCAAGTGCAAAGGCGATTCAAGTCGAGGAGAGAAAGTTTGAAAATTGCAGACTTTTTGTCGCGCTTGAAAGTCAATAAACTCAAGTTGATTCCCTTGAGCAGATCGATGCATTGCAAACACTCTTGACTCGATACTACTAGGAATGATGTTTCTCAAATGGGCGAGCCAGCATTGAATTTCCAAAGCATCTGAGGCCGCAAAGTACAGTCGACCCTCTTTATTGCGACCACCAAGCAATTGTGGAGAATGAAGTTCAAATGCAAAAGGTAAGTCTATACTCGTTTTCAATAGAGCAGTTGTCAAATCGATTTGACGCGAACTTTGGCTACTCAGTGTAGCTTGCCGGTCGTTTGGAAAATAGTCGAGTTGAGGACGATCGAAAGTATCAGATTCCACACTAAGTACGACGTATCGTCGCATCCAGCGCGATGTCTCGCGTCGCTTGCGAAGGTATCCACTGTATACATTAGTTCGCTTGACTTCAGGCTCACGCTCTTCCTGATTATTCATTTCATCTGTCGTTGAGTTTTCATCTTTTTCCGGATCCTCCGTTTTCAGTTGCTCAGGCAAATCAATAATCGCAATATATTGCAAGGCAAGATATTTTACCATAGCATATTGCCCAAACGCACACGCTTCGTGAAATGCTGTAAACCCCCGTCCATTTTTAAGTGTCAGCAAGTGATTACTTGCACATTTAGTAAGCATGTACTTTACAACATAGAAATCGCCACAAGCAGCAGCTTTATGAAAAAGCGAATTGTACCCAAAAGTTCGAGGTTGCAGCATAAAAAAAATTTCCGGCTGAAGACGCAACTTTGCCATTCGATAATCCGAATCTTCCATACGCGAGTGTTGTGTCCATGATGTTGTCAAGTGTTTATCACTCTCTGTACCCTTAAACACTCTTGCTACTTCAAGTTGCCAAGCCACTCGCTGAATGTATGTGCGCCACATTTTTTGTATGCGTCTTGACGCTTTTCGAATAAGTCGAAAATGACGACATAAAAGCCACGTCGTGACACTTGCCTGCACTCTGCGCGTGCTTCGCTTTAACTTGACAAAGCGCCTTCTTGCAATCCATCCAACCATAGCCTGTTGCAAACACTGGACCGCTGCTTTACGAACATCCATCATTCTTCGAGCAGCATGGCGACGACGTACACTCTGAAGACTCACGACAGCACTTCGTAATGCCACAAACATCCGTCGTTTTGCATATTTGCGAGCCAATGCTTGGGTTTTCACAATATTTGCTTTTAACCGTTTGAAACGTCTCAATTGTATCACTTGACGTGCAAATGCTGCAACAATAATTGCAGCATTTTTGTCACGTAAGAAACGACGACGGATGATTCGCGATCGAATTATCGTTTGCACTTGCACAGCCGCGAAACGTTGAAGTAAAAACCTTCGACGGTGTTTCACCATGCGGTGCCAAGACTGCAACTGCAACGTTGAACGATCGCGCAACTTTCGCTCACGTTCTGCCGCAGTTCGAAGCAAAAACCCGCGAATGTGTCGCTGCACTTCTGTCGCTGCTCGTGTCCACTTGATGAGACGCAAAAATTGGCATCGTACAAGAAATTGTCGACATTTTCGCGTCAAAAGAATTGCTGCACATTTTTTCAAATACCAAAGTCTCGAAAAGTGAAATGCACGAAATCGTGCTTGTATTATGACTGTTGCTTTGCGTTGCTGCAAATAGTTGCGTCGTTGTAAATGCATCCGCAATTGCGCTTGCCATTTGACAGTTGCATGACGCAATCTATGAAACTTTTTATACGCCAATCGTGCCCGAACAACTTTTGCTTGTATAAGTACAAGACTGTCATGTCGTAATGTCGCTAACGAGCCCTCAAGACGCTCAATTTGACCGTATCGCAGAAAGATCTCGTGCTTTCCCATTGCAAAAGTCTGTCGTGTTGATATACCAGCACCTTTTTTCAGCTCAGGCGATTCATTACATTGCATCATTTCATTTTCAGCATCCTTTTCTTTCAACCAATTACGTGCAATAGTCTCACACGCCTCTCGTGTACGAATGGCATTGTTGCGAGTATCTGCAACTCGAAAAGTTGCAATTGCCAGAGGCCAAAAAAGTTCAAAAAACACACTAAAGATCTTACGAATTGGAAATCCTTCCTGTCGAATACGAACAACCTCCAACACGCCACTATAGACAAGTTGATCACGCACGAGTTCACAGCTAAAACCTCGTGGAAACTTAAGATTATTTGGTTTGATACACTTAATGTAGCTTGGAGTCGTGTGCCATAATACATCCATAAGATCTCCCAGTTGTGTTCGAAACCGACTAGATACTGTTGTAGTTCCAGTTAGGGATGTACTTTGTGCCCGTTTGTGATTATTGTTTGTTGGCGTTGAAGGACCACGTTTAATGATTGCATCATTAAGTGCAGAGGCAGTTGGAGTACGAAGCATGGCTTGCAAAAGTGGTTGTGAGCTCTGACGGAGCAGATCAAGTAAGTCATCATGAAGGTTCTCGGTATTTTTAGCAATAAAATCATGAATGTCGTACGTGACATCTCCAGCGTAATGTCGAATGATAAATTCGTCACACTCAAAACGTGGTTTAGCATAGCTAGAGTGTTTATCCAAATGGTGGCTATGATATATCGTCAAAAGCTGTTTATCGGTTGTTTTGCGTTTCAATAACATTTGTTCTTCTAATAGAGGCAATAATCCAAGTGGTGGCTTTTGAATTAAATCCAAACAGCGTTGATTATCTTGAAATTCAACAGGAGACACAGCAATTCCTTCACGTGCGTATCGTTCTTGCTCAAGTACAAATACGTGCTTATTAAACTGTTGTTGAAGGGTTTCATTCGTAAAATTAATACACAATTGCTCAAGGCTATTGCGTTTCATGACTTCAAACCCAAAGATATCAAGAATCCCAATAAATGGTGACACAGAGAGAGTAGGTACCATTTCATGCCGAATTGGTACTTTTTTGTCATGATTGGCAACAGAATCAGAAGTCTGTTGCTTTGCACAAGCATTAATACGTGTAATGACATAGTCAAATAATTCCCCAAAGAGATATTTGCAAAATGCATCCATGGCATTTTTTGCTTGATCGGGCGTCAACTTAAGCTCAAGTATACTTCCTCGGCCAGTGACAGTCGTTTGCGTAATCATTTTAGTCGCAAATTCCTTGGCATCAACCCCAAGTAACATAGAAACATGTTCTAAATGAACACCGATATCACTTTCAGGAAATACAATCTGAGTCTGATCACTTTCATCTTCTGTAGCCACTTTCTCAAAAGTAACATTACCAAGGTGCAGAATAGCGGCGAGAAGCTCAAACATCGGACGCTGGAAGCTGGTATAGTCCATTCCTAATTGCTCAAGACAATGTCGAAGTTGCTCAAATTCAATTGCGTCATTTACTCCATCAATCTTAATACAATCACCACGTGTAAGGTATGTATAATTCCATGCATTATGCTGAAGTAATAATGGCCGAGCAGATATTGATAAATCGGGGAGTTGGTCGATTCCTGCAAGTAATTGGTAGAAAATGTGATAATTGCGTTCGTTTGTTTCAGGACGAACAAGTCGTGTTTTTTCAAGTAAAAAATGACGAATTGAAACTCCTGCCATGCGTCCTTCATGATTGTAATGAATCTGAATATATTTACCAAATCGACTAGAATTGTCATTACGAGATGTTTTAGCATTCCCAAATGATTCTAGAATCAGATTTGACAATACAACACACTCTTCAATCTGGTCGTGAACACCCGTAAGATTCTTTCCAGTGCTACCACTAGCCACATGCTTACTAGCAGTCGCAAGATATTTCATAATGTACTTAGATGCCTCCGTCTTGCCAGCACCACTCTCACCACTTATAACAATCGATTGCGGAGATCCAGTTCCAGGTACCACACCCTTCATACCGGTATATGCTTTTTCAGCAATTGCAAACAAATGTGGTGGTGCACTACTCTCACCGTCTCCAGAAGATATTGCAACTTCCCGATTTGTCATAAAGCCAACGACATCATACAACAAAGGTATCGATTTGTACGGATTAATTGAAAGTAAAATATCAGCCGTAAACGTGTAAATTTCATCCCGTTCAAAACGTTGACGCAAGACATTAAGCAGTGGCGCTTCGTGTAAATTATTCATTAAAGCCACATCAGAGTGGTCCACAATATGTGATGCATCGAATGTATAAAGTTGATCCATTCTCAAAGTCTGGACTTGGTCATCCGCAGCATCCGGAAGGTACACTTGTGCCGTCTTCCGGTCTTCACCAATTGATTGAACTTCACCAATACGCCAGAGAACCATAGAATCGGCTACCCAGACCTTTGTACCAACTTGTAAAAGTTTAGCATCGATCTGTCCGAAATGTGCAGAACGTTCTAAATTAGTGGCATTGTTGCTGTTTTGTTGATTATTACTAGGACTCTCGACACTCTTCCCAAGAGATTTCGAACTTGGAGGTCGTGTCGATGTTGTTGGAGGAGACCGTCGAGAAAGCATCGTACGTAGCACAAGATTTCGATGTCTCTCACAAGAAAGTTCGCGTCTTTTGACGAAAGCTGCGTCGTTTCGAATCCGATTATAGCGTAGGTATAACTAATAAAACTGCAATAAGTGATATTACTGAATTTAAAAAAATAATAAATTACACAACATCTTCTTTACGTGGCGCAATAATCTCAAAATGCACGGTGACCTGCGCGGCTTCTGTGCGTGACTTATTCTGCTTCTTCTTTCGTTTTGCTCACGTAATTTCATATCAGATGGTGCACCCGTGACGTACGCTTTCTCTCTTGCAGTGGGTGCCGCTAGTTCTGCCAGTCTTTTGCTCGACAGTGGACATCTCCTTTCGCTCGACAGAGACGCAGTGCTAAATCGATTGCAATATTGGCGCCTCTTATCGAATCAATTAACTTTTCACCAGTAAGGTATTTTTTTTTCTTGCAGTATTTTTGTCTTGTTTACATAATTATTGTCTTGGTATAGTGGACTAGCGGTGTCTCTCGGACTTTACTCTGTATTTCAATTTCGAGTACTCGAAAGACAATTGGGCTCTCGTAAATTTGGCAGTATCCTTGTCTTTGTGCTCTCATTTTCTGGAGCGTTACAACTCATAGCATTGACATCCTATCCCGAGCTGGCCAAAATCATCCCAGGAGGACCTTATTCCTTCCTTGGCGCTCTCGTCGTCTACTTTAATAGTACGTAGCCTTGAATAAAACGGTGGATACAATTATTGTTAATTCACTTGTGCAGAATTTATTCCCAAACTCCATCCAAGATCACTTAGTTTTTGGGGATTAAATTTTTCCGAAAAATCAAGCACATATTTTCTTCTGCTTCTGGTACGGACATACTATTCGTGGTTAAAGCAGGATATTGATATAACTTTTCTCGTTACAGCTACTCGCGCACGACTTCCACGCATTGATTCCATTTTTCGCAGGCTCTTTTTGCGGATATCTATTCAACTCCACGCCACTAGGACAATTACGTCTGCCATCGTTTCTGTGCTCGATATTTAATCTATTGCATCCTCTTTTCGATGTGGTTCCAGCAAGTACTTTGGCACTTCAGCGGCAGCGTCGTGCGCTTGAGGCACAAAGACGAGTAAACGCTCGATTCAATCGGGGCCGTCCAGGACAGGGATTTCGAGATCAGTTATTGCCAGGTGCTGGTGGAATGATGCCGGGAGGTGGTCTGGCAGCTGGTGGTATGTTGCCACCTCATCTAGCTGCTGCACCGCCGTCAGAAGACATTATTCAGCAACTCATGGTACGACTGTGCACGTTTTTTTGTCAATATCTAGACTTCTGACTTGAGAAAACTTTACTTTAGGCCTTAGGATTTGATAGAGAACACGCTCTTCAGGCACTTCAAGAAACAGACAACAATGTCGAGGCCGCGGCAAATCGACTTCTCAACAATTTGTAACAAGGTTAGAATTTTACAAGGTCGTTTAATATCAACAAGTTGGATTATTGTCAGCTCGCGAATATCAAATGACGAGACGTACCTTCTGGGGTCATTTCATCATGTAAATTTTCAAGTAAAATTGATGATGACAAAAAGATAGCATCAAAGTTATATCATTCATCTGGTTCTACCGAACAAATATTTATGTAGCCTCACGTGAGTTCGTTTTAACGCCAGGTCCGTAGCGCGGGTGCTGTACTGTGAGTCTTAGAGGCGTATGCAGATCACTTAATGTGTAATGATTCTTACATTATTGAGAATTGTGATGTATGATTTTTATTGATCAAACGGATGCCAACGTGTGCACTCGGTGCTATCCTGATATTAACGCGACATGTTTCTTGTGAACGGGTCACAATGTTGTAGAACACAACGGTTTTGCGGATCATGGCCAATCGTGACAGCGCATACCTCAACTGTATTTGCACACCTTTTGATGTCGGGCGTTCTGATGGTAAACTTGTTTTTAAGGTATCGTCTGCTACAATTATCCTTACAAATTTGCATATCCGATCACTCACCGCCAAATGCTTTGGTTTGCTACGCTACACGGATTGTCGGCTTACTTTGCACGTAAGTTCCTCGTGGCGGTGATGACGCTTGAGACGAGGTATCCCTAAGTATTGTATATTTTCTGAACATTGATTTCCAAGCCATATGTGTGCGTGGTCGAGACCGTATGCAGTAATCTTCCCAGTTCGTTTTTGTTTATTTCTTGTTATGTCCTAAACAAGTCTTGAACATAACGGTAGCGCGTCCGCTTTGCAAGCCAAAGGTCCAGCGGGACTGTCGTAGCTGCAGCGGGGCTGCCGCAGCGTTGCGCTTAGAGGAAGGTCACCGACTTTTTGTACTATACATAGAACAAGTACGAGTTAGCAGATCGCAATCCGCTTACCCAAGGGTAATTATTGCCTTAACCCAAGGCTAATTACTCTTCCGATTAGAATTCAAAACTGATTTTTATTTATTTTAATCTGTGGCAAAGCTGCCTACATTTAAATGTTTAGATTTTCCTGAATATATATAAAATGGCGTTGTGGCTTAGTATCCAGCCAGCGCCTTAGTAGACGCTGTCGAGCACATATATGGACACACCGGGATTGAACCCGGGGCCTTCCGCTTGCAAAGCGGACGCGCTACCACTGCGCTATGCG